AATACACACACAAAAAGATGCTCAGCTTTGGGGTAATGCAAATTGGAACCACGAGAAACTACTTCACCCACGTGCATAGCTAAAGCCAAAGAGAGAGAAAGAGAGATGAACTATTGCAAGTGTTGGCAAGAATGAAGAGAAAATAGCACTCTCCCATGTCGCTAGTGGGGATGTGAAATGAAGCAGCTCTTTGGAAAACAGTCAGGCTGCTCCTCAAATGTTCAACACCGAGTTATCATATGGCCCAGCACTTCCACTCTTACATACATACCTAGGAGAAATAAAGCATACAACCATGCAATACCTTGAACATGGATTTTATAGCCTTGCCAATGATAGTCAAAAAGCAAAGACAATAAAATGTGCTATACCCAGACAAAGGACTATTACTTGGCCATAAAACAAAATGCAGATATATACTGCAACATGGATGAACCTTAAAATGTTATTGTAAGTGAAAGGAGCCAATTAAAGATCACGTAGTGAATGATTCTATTTATAGGCATTGTTTAGAATAGGCAAACAAGATATAAAGAGGTTGGTATTTCTTAAGAGGGTGGTTGGCAGGGGCTGAAGGGGCCAGGGAGATTGTTAAGTGGAAATGGGAAATTTTTGGTAATAGTTTTAGGGTTTCCTTTGGGGTTGATGAAAATGTTCTATATTAAACAATATTATATACTTTTAATGGATAAAATGAAAGTTATGTGGATTACACATTCATAAATATGCTATGAAAGAAGGCATGGTTCTAAATTAAAGAGGCTGATTTAATTGTGTGGCTTCTACTGGTGACAACCGATTACATTCTGTATGTACTGTCATCACACTACACTAAGTAATTTATCTGAGGGGCCTTTCAAAAGTTCATGGAAAAATGCCATTGTCTTTTTAAAAATCATTTTATTGGCATATACTCCACATACCATACAATTTAATCCTTTAATCATATTAACAAGAGTTGTACAATCATCAACACAATAAATTATAGAAAATTTGCTTCCTATCCTCATTGATGTTAGCTCTCCATCTCCCC